TCATACCTCGGCCCAATTGGATCGTTCATTTTTCTTTTTCCGGCGTGGACTTTCTTCGTCTGGACTGGCCAAGCGAGAAATTGAGGATTTTTTTCCGAAGAAAATCGCGACTCGCTTTGACAGTTTCGTTATCTGTGAGAAATTAGCTTGGGAAATGGTTCATTTGTCATGTCTTGATAGAAAGTCACCCTCATTTTTCGCCTCGCACAAAAAGGCATGAACTATTGAATCCCTAAATCGGTTATGAATTGTATTCAAGTGAAATTCAAGAAACAACGTAAGCTCGAAAAGAGCGAACGAGAAAGTCTGAAATTCCATTTACGCAATGACACACGCGTCGTCGCAAAAGCGCGCTGAGGTTCGATGTGCTCGGGCGGAAAACACACCGGCAGATCAATCAAACTCTCGGCAGCGAGGAAATGGAAAAAACAAAAGGCTCGGCACTCGACCGTGCGACAGACATAGTCCGCGCGCAAGCAGAAGTTTTCGAGATGGCTTGGCCTGTCCGAAGGCAGAGATTAGCCGCTTGAATTCCATGCGCGCCCGACCCGACTCATTGTTTCGCAAGAGAGTAATTTTTACGCCGGCGAAAGGAAGCCAATGAGGCTTTGGGCTGCAGTTTTCAAGGATTTCGTCGGCTTTTCGTATTTTTCGCGTTTTCTTTTTTTTTTTTCGCATTGATTCGTTAACAACAAACAGTTAGGAGAGCGTAAACCGCTAAGTACGAGTCGCCTTTTAGTCTAGTTAAACTGGCACGCGCCACCGCAAACTCTCGCAATATAAGCGCGGCTCGTAAAACGAAAAGCATAATCGCGTCTGCGGAGCTGCGTAGCTCTGGAATAAAAAAAGGCACGAAACGTGTAACGGCGCGAGCGCGCATATTATTTTCCCCGCGTGACTTCGCGCCTCGTCGTATATACGTTTTCCAGGCTAATGGACGGATTTATGCGAGGCATTATAACGGGGCCCCCATTGTTACTGGCCAAAGCTCGTATCGTACGAGACGCGCCTGTGGCATTCCGCGGGCGAAAATATCGGGGCATTTCAATGAGACACTCGCTCGAGACGATAAAAGGCGATCGCAGAGGCAAGCTCGCCGGTAAGCTTTTGATTTTTCATTTGAGGGGACGAAGGTTGAGGGGTAGCGAGCGATTCGGCGAAAAGCTCGCGCCAGTCGCTGTCGAAAGGAAAAATGAAGCGCACGCGAAAGAGGAAAAGAAAAAGGACGGTGGCAATTATTCGAGAGGAAGCAGTCGGTCGATATAATAACCGGAAAGCCCAGGCGCCGACGAGATGCAGAGGAAACATCCAGTGCCGAGCGAGCAGATTCGAATGCACGCAGGTGAGAAGGAGGCGCACTCGCCTCTCTCCGGCGGAATTCGATCCATTGTCGGCGGACTGCCCGATTAACGCGCCGCGACTATAGGCACCGAGCTCTTCGCGCCTCGTTCGTCTCTCCGCTCTGCCCTCGCCTCGCGAACATTCTAACGGCCATTTTTCCCGATCGACTGCTGCGTGCGGCTCGGTGACGACGACCATTAGCCAGCGCCACTTGCGTTGCGAGCGTCGCTCGCGAAATCGCTTCCACATTTAATTCGCCTAGCTTTCGACATTGACTTTGCCGTATGAAACTTTTGCGCGACGATTCGTTGTACGTGGCGCAGTTGCGCGTGCATTCGTTAATTCGCAATACAAAAGCGGAGAAAATGAAAAAACTTTTGATTACTTCAATAAATAACGTTCTAACGGCAGGAAACTCGGCTGAATCGATTACAAAACTTGGACTGTTAGTGCTACGGGCTGATTAATAGAAACTGCATCGTATTAGTAACGTGCCGGCAAATTTCACAAAGCACTCGATCAACTTTCTCATAATATCGCGCCGAGCGCAAAATAAGTTATTCGCAATTTAGCGCATTTTAACGAAGCACGCGATTTTTCGACGTTCATGAATTATTGGATAATGGCTCGAATGCGTTGCGTTCTACAATTCATCGCCATATAGCGCAGATGAGTTTCGCAGTTCCTGACTTGCGCAAGCCTTTTGTACATGCACATTGCAGTTTTCACGCAGCGCCCGAGCGCGCATTAATTATCAACAATAAATAAGCTGGTTTTTCATTCGTTCCTGCTCGGTACTCTCGTCCATTCAGAGTCCATCAAAGTAGGCTATATTAATTATCGCGTAAGCGTGAAATATTATTCGCAAAGTCGACTAATACACGAGCGTTTTATTGAAAAATCCAGCTGATTTCCATTTTTGAACGTTGATTAACGAGACCATATTTTATTCTCGCGAACACGCTTTTGGTTTATCAAATACACCCAAACATTAATATTTCCAGAAAAGCTCGAAACCCGTTCGTTTTTTCTTCTTGGTTTTCAAAGGCAAGCTCGCTTCGAGGCTCGCTACAAGAGCCTGTAGCTAATGTCTTGAACTACGTCGTCCTTGTTCGAACGAAAATGACGGTCCCAATCGGAGTTACTATCAATGAAAGCTGCAGTCGAAGGACGCCTTCAGCGAGGCTACCGAGGCCAAATCGGAGACAAATCTAAATGGACAGGAGGATGGGCGAAACGGCAAGCGATGCAATTAGCCGAAAACTCAATTAACCGCAGCACGCGCCGCAGCGCGAGAGTGTGCAGTATATTTGGGCAAAATTAGCAGAAAGCGATTATGAGCAAAAGGCATTGGACAGTGGGAAGGATAAGGAAGCAACGTATAGTCCGCTCGGTACAGTCGGTCCGACGCGTTGTTCGAATTCGGAGGCCGCCTGCTAATGCACACCACAATCCTTAACCCAATTTTCTCTCGCGGGACGGCGCCGCGCGCATTGAACGCTTCGCAGAGCAAACAAAAAGAACGCGCAGCCTCGGCGAAATGGGCGAATTACCGCAGCGGCAGCCTCGCTATATGCCCCCGCATCATTATGTGCAAGTGTAATCAGAAACACGCGACTGTCACTGTGGCTCCGATGCCATCTGCCCCGTTCCGCTGCACTTGGCCAATAAGCCGGATACGAGGTTCTGGCATTTTGCAATTCAATGGCTGCGTTTGCGGTCGTCACTTGGACTGCCATTCACTCGTAATACTCCAGTTTTGCAGATTAATTCCGCATGTAACTGTGCGTCTTTCGAGAGCTCACGCCTCATAACCTGACATGGCCAGAGGTTTCAAATTCGAAAACATGTGCTTTTATTGTTGCAAATACTCCGCCGCCGTGTTTTCTGCCAACATAACTGGGAATATTGGAGGGTGTTTTCGTCTCAACATCGTTATCAAATCATGCGTACGTGAACGTGGATTCTGATTTTAAGGGAAAGCATGCGGAAATCATAAAAATAACGATTGACTATATCCGAAGTGGACCATTTTCGCTCCTCTAACAAAGAGACCTCCCGCACTCGAAGCGCACACGCGGACCGCGAAGCGAATGTAGCAACCCGTCAAACTATAGAAAAAGAGAAGAACCTCGTCGCAGTGTTTTGTACAAGCCCACTAAGCTTAGCCGCATCGCAGCCGCAACAAGACAATGGGACAATTCAAACAAATCAGCCCGTGTGGTTTGGCGAGCTTCAGAGCGGAGAGCCGCTATATGTATATGTGTACATACGTACATGCACACTTAGCTCTCTCTCTCTCTCTCTCTCTCTTTCGCGGTCATGATGCAGACGACCCGCGCCGCTCGTGCAAAGCGGTCTGTGGTGCAGCGGGTCAGCCGGCCAAATGGCGCGCCACAAGTTCATGACTTCATTTCGCTACTGCGCGAGCTGATTCGCAGTCGCAACCCACCGCTTGAACGAGAAGGCTTTCGTGATCGGACAGTGCTGGGCGGCTGAGCTGAATCTAGATGCGATGAGCACGCGAACGCGCAAAAACGGGGAGCATTGTTAGTCGCTCTAGCGATTAACGTCGGCGGAACTGAGCGAGCGCGCGAACTTTTTGTTTTTCTCTTTTGAGGCTCGTACGCGCGCGTACAGTCGATCCACTTTCGCGGATCGCGAAAAACGACTCGCGAAGCGTCTCAACGAATACGGGATAGGGGAAAAACAGAGCGAGCGGAGCCTCTGAATAATTCATGCGTACACACGTGGCTGCGTGACGTCGGAAAAACCGCGAAGCGAAAATATCGGAGAGACGCATCCCACGTGCTCGCGCATAATTAGCGCAAGAGGACCGAGGTGAAAAGCCACGAACGGAGCAGCGTATCGCGATACGCAGGCGTGGGCGAGGAGAGAGAAGTCGCGCGAGCGGAATGCAGTCAGCGGGACGGCCGCGCGCGCAAGAGAGACTGTCGTCGTCCTTTCATTTCGCGCATTCTCATGCCGACGTGCAAACACTTCCGTCTCTCCCACGCGCGCGAACGCGCTATCTCCACCGCTGCCTTTCTCGCTGTGCTCAAATTCGTACGCGTGTCTCTGCTCTATACGCGCCGATTCATCCGAATATCTACTTGTTTACCTTACTTTTTCCGCGGTTTCGCATTGATAGATCGCCGAGACGAGCTCAGATACTTGCTATGGACGCGTTCTGTGCGCATGCATCGCTGAATATTTCGGATCGTCATATTTTTCAGACTCAAGGCAGACGTTGTTTGTCGTTCTTGAGAAGTTACAAGCATGGTACGAACAAACAAACTGTAACGAGGACAAATCCTCTACACGGAGCGTCAAACAGATACGGCAGCTCCGCGTCCAGTGAATTGAGCCAATTGAAGATTTGGCTTGTACGAAGTATACAGCCGATTGGTGTACCGATTGAAATTCCGATTTTCGAACGCATAATTGTGGGATGCTTCAGAGAGAAACTTTGGCTTTTTCTTCAAATTATTTTGCAATCTTCGAGCTATTGGACTAGACACTCGATAACATTTTTCGATGGATCAGTTATATCTGCAATGGTGAACGCTTTGTGTGTTTCGCATCAATTTCATTGCTCAATTAAAAAAACAATGAAAAGAAAAATTCTAGCTTATCATCTGCCAGGTTGTTCTACTTACATTGAAGGCCGAGCTCTTTGGTTGTTCAGCAGCCTGCGAGCAAAAAAAGAAAAAAGACACCAATTAAAAATATGTATGCGTATGGCGAAAGAAGCAAAAAGTCAATTAAGCGTATTGCAAGAGCGCGACAGCAGATTAGCATCTCTATGGTTGACGTTCAGCAATGTACAGAGATCACCGGCAAAAAAGATCCAGAGGATCGCGCTAAAATCAGCCTTGAAGGAAAGCCGAACACGCCGCTAGCTAACACGTGTTCGCTTGTATAAACGCTTTTAATGTCAAATTAGGCTGAACCGAAGAACGGCCATTATCTGGAAAATCTTGTTGGAACTTGGACTACGGTGTCCCAAGGAGTTTTGATATTTTCATCGATAATTCGGTCCTCGATATTCTTGGATTATCCATATAGCTCTAAATAATTATTACTTGTTGAACTTTAGTGCAAAATGAAATTAATATGGGTACGTTGACAATGAAAAATGCTCAGAAAATTAAGTTTTGGAGCCTACGTAATGACACATCGTTGTGCTTGTAAGTAAACGTTAGCGCTGAAAATGCAAAAAACCGTCTGCTGTTGGCGCAGCAATCGGACGAGAAGTTTTTAAATATTCGAGAGCATTTCTTCGAAAGAGGATCGCCCAAGGTGCAGGTGTGTTTTTTTTTCGTTTTTCCTCTATCCATTCTTCATTCTCGCAGACATTTCTGCGCTCGGAGGCTTTCATTTACAACCCGATGTTTTGCCATTTCTGCAGTTCGTTTCGAAAGACGAACTGCAAAAACAAGTCCCAAGAGTCGGCAGCTCTGTTCTTCATTCTCTTTAGCGAGCACTTTGCGACGTTATATATCCCTACAAGCAATACGCGTTTCGGGCAGATGTAACCGATGATAATTATCGTTCATATTTTGAGGAAACCTCAATTTATGAAAAGCAAATTTTCAGCAATTCTCTTGTAGCTCAGATTTCTTTTTGCTCTCACTATTGTCTCGACCAAGAATCTAGTGAGAGTAAGCAAAGCTAAATGTTTCGAAGTGGATTTCAATTATTATAAACTGTAATTTCCTTCGTAGGATTTCGCGCGTACTACGAGTATATTTCAATGATTTCACTGTCTTTCCGTAGATTACATAACAAACCCGCCTATGTCTTGACGAGAGCTATCGAGATTCTTTATTACATTTTCGTTGCCGCATAATTAGAATTTAAGTTTGTTTCTGCGGCGCCCCGACAAAGGGCAAGTGCTGAATCAAAAATAAATCACGTAAAGTCTAATTACATCTGTTATAGATAGTAGCCCTCTAAATTCCGATCAGAGAGAGAGAGACTCGGAAAGAGTACGAGACAAAGTGGGTTAGAGTCTGAGTATATACGTACGAGCGAGCTTCTCACAGTAGGATTATACACGACAACAAACTGCCGAATTTATTCGCTGGTTTTGGCCGAGTGCGCTGCAGTGTACATACCTTCCGCCCCCTCCCACCTCCCTCCTGTACAAGCACTTGGAGCTCTATTAATTCGACGCCCGGCCAAATATCGTATTTCCTCTTTAATTATCGGACACTGCAGACACTACACTGCCCTCTGTCTGCTTTCTCCAATTTTCTCTTGCATTCTTGCATTTTTCCCTTTTCAACTTCCGTATATCGCGACTCGTTGGGCAATTATAATTTTGATGTAGAAAGAGGGATGTATTTGCTTTTGCGCGACCGAAGCTGAAATGCAATCGGACTGTAACCATGAAATTCGCTGATTTTGCAGTGTATTGAAGTCGTGTCAGTATTGTGGGCACAGGCGCACCGACAAATATATACTTGCATTACAAATGTGGCTGTAAATGTATTTTAATTAATACTTTTTCTTTTAGTGATTTTCAATTCTAAAAAGATTTTATCGTGGAAATTGTATGAATGCCCCGGCGTCAATCGTGATACCGTCTTCATTAAAATGCTTCTTCAGATCAGACGACGAGAATTCCGCTCTTGAGCGCTCAGAACGTTCAAAGCAAACCGTGAATCAAAGTAAGAACGAAATAGTCAAAGTATCTTCCGCTCCTCCACAACTCAAAACGCTTCAGGTTCGCACCGAGTGGAATCGCCTCGAGGAGACAGCTTTGGTCTCTTCGACTGTTACTTCAACAGGCACTGATTTGTGTCGCTTAATAATAGTAACAATGGATGGGCCCATAAAGAAAATCATTGAAACGACGAATAGCCGTTGGGATTGCATTTTGCGGCCAAACTGTGAGTAAGAAAAGTCTGTCAGATCATGCAGTGACCATTACACAACGTTTTCGTGCGGCCTTGGTGCTTTTACTATACAAAAATTAAAAATTTGTAATCATAGGCAACTTGAGAACAACACAGTTTACTCTTTCTCTCTGACTGTGTGCCTTGACGAAATGAATAGCGAGCGATTATGATAATTGTTTACGGTGAGAAAAAGCTTAACTGTGAGAACTGCAGTTTAGCGTGGAAGAATTGCAGGTTTTAACGATTCGTCATTACGAAAATCGCTCGTTCTATTAAATCAAATATGCAATTAGAGCCTTACGGTTCCGCGCATATTAAAGATACATAACGATGCTCTTGAAAGATGAAAGGTTCGTCAGCGCGCTGAACACTCCGCGAATATTCATAAACATGATTATAATGGCAAAATCATAAAAAAATCCACATTTCATGCGAGTAGATATTAGCGAGCACTGATAGGCATTCCTCTGCAGTTTTTCATCGTTAAATTGGCTCGATATAAATATTCCATTAACGTAAAAATGTTTATCAAGGCTACATTGAAATCTTCGGTTGAACGAAACGGAGAAGCCAAGAGCTCCAAGATTTCAAAATTCTACGAAGCCGCATTCGTATCGTGCCTTTTCAATATTCACATCAGTCTTCGTTGCGTTGAAAAACTCAAAGTTAAACCCCAGTGAGTAATTCTCCTATGAATAAACCAATTCACTCGGAGAATTAGCGGTAAAAGAACAGGTCTTATTTTATTTTCATTTTAAGCGCGGCATAAAAAACAAGCCCGCTTCCAAATAACTCTTTATTTGGAAGTGGGCTCGCTTTTTATGGGCTAATTTACTGCAACGCTCAAGTGAAGATCGCGATAAGTCTCGAGATTGTTCAATGTATTTGCGCGAAAAATCGCATAAGCATATTGCCAACTTCATTATTGGTAATTAAACGTCTGGTCAGGAAAAGAAATTGTTCTCGCGTGGTTAGTTTTTTCGAATAATTTTCGTTTCTATTTCGTATGCCTCATGAGTATTGACTTTTTTTAAATATTATCGATTAATTGGATTATCAGTCCCTAAATTTTTTTTTTTTCATACTCGAATCCTACAACAAACTCACTAGCTCACGCGTATCGCGTTTCGTGAACCCTCGACAACAGGTCTGCTGCCACCAGCGAGCGCACATATAGCTTTATGTTCACTTGACCATCGTATTCGAAACATAAGATTTATTGGATTTTAACTATTGATCAACGTAATTGAAATGTAAGACGACCCGAATTGCAAACGTCGGTCTATCACAGCCGAAACAATATTTCAAGTAGTCTGTACGACTGTAGAATCCACCTAAGGCTGAATCTCCGCGCGCTTGGCGCATGCGTGACAATCACCTGCTCATACTTTCAGTCAACATGGCGAACAGCTGTGCCGTCGGCGTCGGTGCTCGTGCACGTGGCTCTGCTAATAGACGCGATTTTTATCTATTTTCAATAGCCGTAATTAACTATTTTTCGCAAAAAATCTCTCAGCTACGTCAAGCGCTGGGCTTGAACACATACGAACACATTGATGTGGGGATAACGCTGACGTAGCGGCAGGCCCACTTTGCAGTTGCTCTCCCCGCGAATACCTGGTAAATATTTGTATGTTTCTAGCAATAAGTTCAATTACACTTTAATGTCCATGCGACAGGATCGCTGAAGGCTCATTTTTCACCTAATTTATCGATTATCATACAGTTTCTATGCCGATCATACTTATATGATGCTCTCTACTAAAATATATTGCGCCTTATTCAAATTACAGTTTTTAGTATAATTATGCTACACGTCAATTCCATAAAACTCTAGTATTTTTGCAGTTTTGTGAATGTGCCTTAATTATTAGCTTGACGTTATATTTATGCCTGTGGAATCCATACAATACAAGAATTTCAGCGAACTCTTCGTTCCATTATAAAATTGGAGTTGTAATAATCGGTGTAAACAATCGCAAGTTCTTTCTCGCTTGCGATTTTTGTGCGCGAAGGAAAATCGGATTCAATCGCTATAGGTAAAGAAATAATAAAACGATGTCTTTTGATCGTTTTATCATTTCTTTACCTACATCTATAGAACCCAATTTTCCTTCACTCGTAATCGCGGGGTATTTTGTTAATGACAACGCTATCGATTAATTTTTTTATCGATACTTCTTGACAAATCCATAATAACGCTACTCGATCTACATTGTATCAGTGGTCGAGGCCCTTGTCTGTATGAAAAGAATCAAGCACAGGAAAATCGCAGTTGACGTCGTTAAGAGACAGATTCTGATCAATAACTCCGGCTCTAAGTCGCTGTGATGATTCTGAGCAATAGCTACGTTGATGCCGTTATCGTTGTAATTTTCGAAGATTTATCGAACAACGCGATGAATAAAATTGTCCCTCTAATTCATTATTTCGTTTTAATGACGCCAACTCAACAAACATCGATAAGTTATTTTTTCATGAACCCTTGTGAAAAATCGATAAAACATATAAAATAGCGTTACTTTCAAAGCGGCTAGTAGCTACTTTGACCACTATAGCTTATTAGCTCATTGCTCTACAAACTGAAACTGCATTTTTGCAAGATATATACTTGTCATTTAACATTGTGCACCGAATTCGTACTGAAAAATTACCGCGATACTTTTGGTTGCGAACGTAGGACGTGATGCGCTTTAGTTTTGTTGCTTATCTTTACCCCTACAAAGACACTCAAGTGCATTCCTGAAGGTAGAGAAACAATAACAGACAACGACGATCGTAAGCCGAAAAGAAGCGGGAAAGAATGAAAACGAAATAAATTGCAGCGTGAGAGGGGAATTGAAAGCTGATACAATAGGGTAACGCATAAACAATGGATAGTAAATCGGAGCAATATCCCGGCAAATTAACATTGCGGCGGAGTCAGAGAAATCAAAGCATCCAAGTGCGTTATCTCGAGGTTGCAATTAAACCTACAGAGAAGAGAAGCCGCCGAAAGTACGGGCCTTTGGAATAATCGGGCGAACACTCTCACGCTTCTTCTTCTCGCGCGAAAAAAACGTCGAACAAAGGCCTCCTTCCCGCGCGTCTCATGCAAATGCAAGTGCTACTTGCCGGCCTTGGGCGACTTTATCTGCGCCCTTCGCTCGGACAGCTTACCGTCTTTTTTTCCTTTCTTTCTTTTTTCGTTTTCTTGCGCCATAAGCACACGGTAAAAGTGAGCATGGAACATATGTGACGAATGCCGTGAAAAAACTATCGCGATTCACCCTACCGTTTTATCGAATTTTCATATTGCGCGTCTTCTCTTTCTCTTGGCTTTCTGATTTTCTCGTTTTAAGAACAAACGGAAACTTAGAAAACACGTCGTCGCGCGTGCGTGTGGATACCATTTTTTTGCCGATGGTAGCTGTGCGAGATGGTGCTGATCTTGAATACTTTTATCACGAGATTCCTCAGAGCCTGTAGTGCTTAGGGAAAAGAGCATATAAATCACGTCAAAATAGCCTTCAAATATTATCGTTTTATGCAACTTCAATTAAAATTTAAGACTCGCAAAGGTATCTCCTCAAGTGGAATAAATCATAATGTTATTATTATTATATATGTTATAGCGATAAATATATAAAAACATTGCGTGCATACACAAGCAAACATATCTCATATTTTGGAGTTGGCAAAATTGAAAATATCCTTTTTTCTTAAATACCATTAAAGTGGTATTGTGAAATTGAGTTCTTAGTGTGCGATGTGCGGATGCCGATGAAATTGAAACATTTTGAATCATGCAATCGACAACATTCTGCTTATTTGCATTGACAAATTCGTTATTATTACATGTAAAAATTCCCAAACATCCACTTCTTTCGTAAGATTTGTTCGAATTCACGCTGAAATTTGTTGAAGCAAGTAAACACGGGAGATTCGGCACACGCCGCTGCATTTTAATATCAACAATTGCCTGTTGCAACAAACGTAAAAGAAATTTATCTCTCAATAGTTTTCCCCTGAACGTAACGTGTTCTAAGCATGGATAACTTTCAAGATAAAGTTACGCAAACTTCTCCTCACCCGTGTAAAAAGATATTTCGGCACAAAGTAATACGGAGAGCTTACGTAAATTTTACGAATGTTTTTTGCTGAACGAAAATTAAAGCACTATTTCGAATAGTAGAGCCCTTCGTCACTCATCACAACGATAAATCGCATAGTAGCGGAATTCGTCTGTGGATCGTGCAATTGTATATACACATAACGCGAGATCGATTTGCATTGAATGCCATAAGTTATCCAGCAACAGCAGCAGCAGCAGCAGCAGCAGAAGAAGAAGAAAAGTCGCGGCTAACGGTCGTGTGCGTGCATCTTGATTAATGATGATGAGGAAGAGACGTCTTTGGTTCCGCGCGGTTGACGTCGAGTTCTGCTCTCGCGTACAGTCTATTTTATGATTTATCAGGCATTTCATCGACTGCTCAGCCTTGCTGACTTATTGTGTACGGGTATTGCGACTATTATTACGTGTCATTTGCTTTTTGGTCCATTTATAGGCACTCGCTTTATTTCTCGGACGACATTTTTTTGCATTTTTCCAAAATTCGACAAGTCATGCTCGTTTTATGGATCAAGTTTACTAATAATGATCGACGATCGTCCATTAAACGGAAGATATGTTTTCATGGAAGATTTTTTTCGCATCACGAAATAATCTGACGATCGCAAGCGATTAATGTCCATGTTACAGTCGACATGCAACGGTAAAGTACTGCATACGGAGAAATTAATTAAGATATCGAGTCCCTTTTTCCATTTCCCCCACGCCCCTTTCTAATCCGCCTCTCCCTCTCTATTTCTCGGAATCGTTTTCCCATGTCGTGCTATAAATTACGATTTGCGCACCACTGTAAAAAAAGGGCTGTAAAGTCGTGCGCTACCGTCGACACGCGCCCCCATAGGAAAATGTGACGACGATGAGCGATGAAAAGCAAGCCTTTGTTTTCTTTTGATAATGGAACTGTGGCCAGCGATCGTGAATGCCTTCATCTCTTGGCCTTTGATGATGACCGTTTAATGCTTCAGCTTACATTTTCGCGTCAGTTTTCATTGTGCGCCAGTTATTATGCAGAGTGGAATGAGAAAATAGTGATGAGCAGGTTATCTTAATTATTTCCATTAAACAACTTCACGTCGATGCGCGGAATTTTCGTTCGGTTATCGATGTGTGTTTGATTGAAAAGTACGTTACATTAATTACTTTTACGGTGTACGGCAATAATGTTGCCTATGCATTTTCCAACCACATTTGAAACGAAAATTCATGAATTAGTGTCTGAATTCGAATAATAAGTTCTATCGGAACATAGTAAGAACCAAACGGAAAAAGCCATCAAGCTTGCATGCAAATCTCGTCTGCATCGTTTAACTATGAAACTAGATTTTTCCAACGGTGGCAATCCAATTTGTGAATGAAGTATCAAGCTTGCAAATACACATATGGAAAAGACCACGGGGCCATATCCGACTCTCCTTCACTAGCCACTTAATCCGCAATTCTCTTTAGATTATCTTTGGTTCTGTAACCTTGTTGATCTCGATATCGAGGTGGGAGACAGAGTGAATCCGAGTCCGGAAATGACGAGCGATGCTATCTTCATTTTTTTCTCAGACATGAAATGTCACTGCTTGCACTTTCACTATTTTTAATTATAGTCGTCACCGCGTGGTAATTGTATTGCAGGCTTTCCGCCGCTATAACTTCTTATCTTAGTGTGCACCTTCGACTCTCCACACAATACTCCATATAAAAATAATTCTGTGGTATTTTTTATTCATTTTGAAGTGTATTTGATTAAAAACATAGCCAAGTATTTTTGTTTGCTTTTGAAATAAAGAAAAATCTGTTAGCTTGAAAAATAATGATTCGTAATTGAATATTAATCTAAAGCGAAAAGCCGAGCGAACTTCTGTCTCTCTCGTGACCTGTAGTCGCATTCCACAAAGCTACGGAAATAATGAAAAAATCTGCACCGTCGCCACAAGTATTTGGAAGGTACAATATGCCAACAGATCAATTCTATCACTGGTCCTAGTCCTGGACTAGCCAATGTCGTTCCCTAAATAATTTTGAATCTATGCTCATTGGGGGAACCCCTTATTTCGGAGAAGGAGCAGATAACTATAAAATGCGAACGCTGCGTGAGAATGCCTGGTTTCTAAAGTAGCTGTTCTGTACGGTCATCGTCTTTCGGCGAAGTTCGATACAAAAGTATCGTATAAAATATGTGAATACTAGCAAAAGATGAACGAACAAACGATGACAGACAACACGACGCTGGACAACGTTGGAGAGTACTTGCCTTACGACATGCTGGAGGTCATTTTCAGCTTGTTAACCTTTGAGATGTTGCGCATCGTCGCTCTTATGTCCAAGTATCATTTTTTGCTTTTTTGCTATTGTTTTGTCAATATCGTTGAATATTGCTTACGATTGGGATTTTTTTTCGAAGGCTCTGTGTTTGCAATTTTTCCTCTTTGCTCTGTAAACGAAGTTATGAATGTAATAATCAATTGTCAAAAGATCGTGGCATCATGCGGCAACGAGGAGCTCGCGCCCTACTACCAGT